ATCTAAAGGGTAATAGAAAAGAGTCAAAAGTATTTAAAAATATAGTTTAATATTGCCCTTGATCAATGACACAAACTTCCTAGGGAGTTCAAAATCAAAGCTCATTCATGGTTAGAAGTCCATAACTTATGATAGACAATTTAAGTTCCTGAGTTTTTTGAACCTAAAATTACATGTTTTCAGGCAAAATTTAAGATGTCTGATTTTAAAAGGATTAAATTTTAAATATTTCGGCAAGAAAATTCATAAAAAGCCACTTAAATTTTCTCATATTTTAACTTAGTGAAGAGAATGGTTACTTGTAGATGCAACAACTATTTTCAAACTAAGTTTTCATTAACAACTCTATAATTAGATAGCACCTTTATCCAACACCTTCTAGTTCATTAAAGACTTTCATTTCACTTTACCCAAATAAATATTTAAGTATTCAAAGCAACCACGAATGGCTTTCAAAGCCTTTAAAGAACAACCTGAGACAGGTTATGCATACTAAAATTAAACTGAAATGTGACCCTCAAAAGAATGAAAGTTCTTTGTTGCATAAAAGCTTCTCAAAAAGAAAAAGCTGACTAGATAAACTAGATAGACAATAGATGAGGATCTCCATTTATTATAAATATAGAAAAATATTCAAAAGGTTTTAAAAGCAACTTCCTAGCTATCCTTAATTCCAATTACAAACAAAACATTATGCAAAATAATTAATAGTTATACATAAAATTATAAGAACGAATGAGGTCCAAAATTTTCTAACACCCGCTTAAAAGGTGTCATGGAAAATACACATTAATTATCCTCTTCCTAAGAAAAAGAACTAATACCACACGTTACACTCTCCTGTTGAGATGTCTTGTCTTCCACTGGAGCACAGAGATAATTTCTAGGAATCTCTTACAGCCTGATGCAAATCTTTGTTCACCATCACCATATGTGAAGTCCTGACAACGTTCCCATAATTGAGACCACTTTATATCAAGGCACTCTTGTTTATCAGTAACTTCCTTGCAAAAGTTCAAGTAGACTCACCCTATGCTAAATTTTGATCTATGTCAAATGACTATTCGGAATCAGCTCAGAGATGTCTGGTAACTCTACTAACTTAGCCACTAGTACACCGGCTTCTTTTCAGTAGGGTGGATAATGTGTGTGCCATTCCCATTTTATTAGTTATTTGTATAAGCATATACTCAGAGACATACATATATTTATGCAATACATACAGAAATAAGACAGTAAGTTTGGGATTCTTTAACATTTGCTGCTTTTCATGAAGAAAAGATTTAAATAAACATGCCAGAAAGTTAAGATTTAACGAGAAAAAGAACCCGTCATTTCTGAATTGCGTTTTAAAAAATAAACAAAAATGCTTATCACAGGACTTGAATATTTTAGACACCACTGATGAGACAATCGAAGAGAAACAAAGACATATATTTTAGTACTGTAACACCAAAACTTTTCCCATGAGCATTTATCATGATCAATGTATCCAATCGTAAGCAAAACAAGGGGCACAGAACTCTTCCCATACAAAACTGCTCAAATGCTATTTAATGTTAGTTTCACTCATATTTCCTTCCACGTAGTTAAGTAATAAGGGCATCTGTGGTTCTCATATCAACAAAATAAATATTCTTGTTCCAAGTGTGATTAAAATAAATTACAGATGCTATAGAAGAGAATATAGTTGTTGCTCCCACACAATTAAATAACCAATTTTCTGGGCCATAAGCTTCCAAAGTCATGTCATCTAGTTGAGATATTATCTTTGGACACTGCAAATGCTATTATATTACAATTTGGTTTTCTTTATAAGGCAAAGATTCGTCAGATAGTCACTTAAGAATTTCAAAGAAAAGTTCAATTAAACTAGGACAGACATTTCCACCAGGAATGCTATCTGTCTTGCATATTTCAATGTGGGAATATCATGCAAACTAACTTAACTACTACTAAGAGACAATTTGGACCAGAAAACATCTTAAATCTGAAAGAATGGCTACAGATTAATGGAGATACAAGTATGCTTATTTTTCCACCATCACCTATAACCTAAAACCTAAAGTTGGCAAAGATTTATCACTCCTGATTTAATGTTGCTATGCTAACTTGACTTTAAATAAAATTTCTTACAAACATAATGCTTAACACCAGAGGAGGAAAAGGATATGAACTACTTATTAAGGTCCAATACAAATAACTAGGACCTATAGCTCCCTAACATAGTACCGCCAAATCTTCAGCCAAAATAGAAACTCTAGTTAGTCACCCCTAGTCAAGAATTTGCTCAAGTGCTGAAGTAAGACTGGGGAGGATTTTAAGTCACATCTGAAGAAACAGTAACCATATAAATTCTTATTATGAATCCTACTGCAAATCCTATTGCAATGGTCAGATCTGACTACTAAGATTGAAAGAAATGAAACAGACAAAATCATTTTTGAGGGAAAACTCAAACTTGTAAAGGTAACTGAAATAAAGCAAAAAGCACTGGAGAAAGGTGGTTACTTTAAAAAGGTTTTAAAGTAATTTGACTAATCTGTCAGGTTTCTAAGTTGGACTGTGTGCGCAAATATGCATGACAGAGCTGAACAAACAGGGGCACCGGTTGACAAGGAACCAGATCACGGTGACACATACTTAACAGCCAGAATGGTAAACTGGACAGCCAAACGTAAGCAAGGGCGTCTAGAGCATTTTGGTTGTTCATTTTCCTCTGCCGGTATTACGTTCACGTGATAGTTCACCTGAAATCCCAAACTGCCTGAAACCCAACAAGCCCTGAAGAGGCCAGAAGGAAGCACCTTTATTGAGTATCTGCTTCCTGTACTTCCTGGTGACCCGCCACCTCCTCCACATTGCTTTCCAACCTGCGAGCCCTCAAGATTGACTAAAACTCACAGATTTAAAGATTGCTCAATTTAGCACTACAGACCGTATATAAAATCTGGAAAGAAGTATCAGACAAAGACTCACCAGGAACCCCACTCACTCTTGGGTAGGGCAAACAGACCAGCTATTTAAATCATTCCTCGGCTCTCGAAAATGTTTGCACCCACCTGTCAACGCGCAGGTGATTGCCTTACCTGCATAAAAGCGTATGAGGCAGCCAATCTCCGAGTCCATGCCTTCCTCCTGCACCCTCCACAGCTCCCCAAATCCCAGTTGGAAGAGGTAGTCATTTTGGATCTGCAACGGCTTCTCATCCGCCTCCAGGCGCCGGGTGGTCTCTCCGTGGAGCTGCACGTACAGGGTGGGCGGCGGGGGCGGTGGAGGCGCTTTCTCCGCAGCCACCCCGCTCCTCCCGGGGATGGACATGGGGCCACCCAGGGCCGCGGTTACCGCAGCCTTCTCTCCCCAAGGCCCATCCCGAGCGACCCCACCCGGGCCGTCGACACCTCTCGGGGCTTTCTGCTGTGGCCCAGGTGGGGAGCCCGGGGAGGGGCGGCCTAGGCGACGGAGCTGGCTCGGGGCCCCCGCCGGGGCCGGGTCGGCCTCCAACTCATCCGACGACGAGGAGCCGCCGCCGCCGCCGCTGCTGTAGGGGTCTAACCGGTCGGACACGCTTTCGGCGCTGGGGCTCAGGCTGAAGCTCTCGGTGTCGGAGGCCGGGCCGGCGGCCGCGCCATCCAGAGGCCGCGGGGTGCCGGGAGGGGAAGTAGGGCCCCGGGCGAACGGCTCTCCGGGGCTGGAGTCTGAAGGCGCGGGGCTGACGCGGGAGGCGCAGCGCGCCCACCCGCCCCGGTCGTCGCCGGGCAGAGGCAGGTCGGCTGGAGGCGCGCGCGGAGGGCCCCCGACGGCAGCCAGCGCACTCCTCGCGGGCTGCGGCTCCAAGTCCTGCGGCTCCGACGGC